TTCTGACAGTGTTTTTTTTTTTTTTTTTTATCTACTCCAATACCCCAGCAAATTTGTTTAATGATAAAATTGCTGGGCTATAACTGTGTGCGGGTAAGAACTTAAAATCGACTGCCATTTTAGGGGCGAACTTTTGTTTAAATAACTACCCTCCTGAAAGCACATTATCGGCGTGCTTTCTTACTATTGATTCAGCACCGTGTATACTTACTCCTAAACAAGCCTTTGTTATAAGCCAATTTTTCAAGTCTCTTACAAATTACTCGTAATGAAGTCTGTGCGGTATTCAAACACTGTGGCGCGAAATATGAGACAGCCTTGAATAGTACTGATTTGAGAAAATACAGCCTTTGGGATTTGCACAAAAAAAAACTCGCTAGATGAACGCAGATGCTTTTAATTAAGAATTTACTGGTCAAAAATTACGAACATCAGGTCTTTTTCTACTATAAGTTATTGACTTTTGAGCTTACAGTCATCAAAAGCCACAAAAGCCACTTCTTGTATAAAGCAACTATTAAAGAGATTTTTTCGAGCATCCGGAATTTAAAAAACACTTTTTTAGAAGCATAAGCTGGATCTTTACTTTCTTCAAAAAATGCTGGTAAAATTCCATATTTTTATATTCGCTGCATTGCCCTTTTCATGAAGTTATATTTAAATATTCTTTACTACACTTTTCTATACTGTTTAAAGTCCTCTTTTTTTGAGGCATTTATCAAAATAATTATTTTCTAATTCCTCGTTTTCACTTCCCACTGCTATTTTTCACAGAACGCAAAATACTGCCCTTTGCTGTGATTTTTACGTAGAGTGATGCATTACGGCAAAGATAGTCGTGGGATCACTTATTTCACTCGCAACAGTTTGCAGTCCCAACTTTGGAGGGTACAGCTGCTGCTGGCAGCAAAATAGTATTATGAGTTACGTACCTGTTCAGACAGCGAATTTCGGCCACCACTTTGCTTAATCCAGCAAATGGGGCAACAGCTATTCTAGAAAAGACTGTCTTTTTGCAGAACATATTGACTAATAAAGGTCCAGAAATGCTTAGCAAACCCTTGCTTCACTGGTACGCGAAACGTGAAGAGTTCTTTGCCCCTTTTTTAGCACCTAAACAATCTCTGAGCTTTTTAGCTCTTGGATGAGCAGAAAGGTTCAAAACCAAATCTCTAACTTTACAAGTCTTTGGCTGGCGCTCACAATATCACTTTTTCGATAGATGTGTTACTAAATCATAAATGAAATGTTTACCAGTTAGAAAAAGAGGAAATGGTCTTGGTTCTGATTGGCTTGAGATTAAATTTTTGAAGTTACGGTTTCAGCAGAAGTAAATCCTTGCAAGCGGCAACCGTTTCGTGGTCGTTGTCCATCGGTGAAGGGAAAAATACAGCCCCGATCACAGTTTGTTCTCCGCTACTACCTCAGGGACAGTGAATGTGTTTCATATCCTTTTGGTAAGCTATGTAATTATGCATTTCTGCATTGTGCAAGCAGTTTTTTTGGCTAATGAATGAGGTCAGAAAAAAATTCCGGTACACAAATTATCGTTTTCGTCTGAGCCAAAAGAACTGTGTCATGTCTTGTCTACTTTAGCGAAGCATGAGTAGGCTCTAGCATGCGTATAGGTAATGCTTGTCTGACTGCCTCAGTTAAGAAGAAGAGTGTGAAAAAAAGAAAAACTGAAGTTATGAAAGCATCTGGCCGGACATACTCCATGTTCAACTTGAAAATAGTACTCGGATTTTCCTGCGTTCGATTTTTGAATTCAGTTCCTAAATGTGGCTAATATCATAAATAAGCAAAACTGCCAAGCTAGTGTTCCTAGGATTCAATTCCCCGCGTAGTTTTTGCAAATAAATATAAGAAGTGAGCACCAAACATCACTGTGTCCTCTGTAATGAATTCAGACTCAGTTTCACAACACTTCTGTTAGTTTCACATTTGCAGTTCTCTTTGTACTGCAAGATGAGAGAAACAAAATGATTCCAGCCTACAGTGTTTTAAATTAAATCTTTAAATCCTGGCTATATAATAATTTTTGAACCTAAGACAAGTTCCAAATGCCTTAAGTTAGTGATTTTTTGGTTTACAAGTACTGGATGAGCAAAGACGTCATAAGACGCACTACAACCGCTTTTTGTGTTTATCCACTCTGTACGCCCCTTAATAGTTAGCTTCAAAAAAGTGCGATTGTATTGAACCTCTGCAGATTATTTCAATTTGGTACAGAATGATGGACTGAATTTCAGGGCACTGTGCGGACGACGAAGATGAGCCAAAGTTGTTCAGGTACAAAGAAGAATGCGAGCAGGCCTGCATCGGTAAAAAAGCGAAAACAGCTGACACAAGTGCAACCGTGAGCAGAAAGCTAACAACAACCGCCACTACGAATGATGATAGTAGTAGCAGTAGCAGTAAAAGTGTTACCGAGGAAAACGATAGTGGTGTGAAGTCACCAAACAGCAATGGTTCCACATCGTCACCGTACAGAACGACATCGACTACGCCACGCAGGCCACTGACAGGTATTTGAGGGTACACTTCGAATTTTATCTGCTAAGTGAAGCTTTAATTTGAATGTGACTGACAATAGGCCACCCTAATATATCCTCCGAGCGCAGCTTTTCTCTCCGACACATTAGTTTGGGAGAGGGAAGTTGCTACTGGAGGATTTATTTGACAGAGGCTTCAGTAAAATATCGTGCGCTTTTAAAGCACTAGCACCGCAAATATATTGTCCCGTGAAGATGTCGCGTATTTTGAACACATAAGTCCACTTTATTGGACTTACGTATACGTTAATGTGCGCATTTTTATGCGTTTTTGCTGTGCAGCGCTATAGCTGTTATAGCCAGCAAAAACGCATATTGTCGAGAGGCTGTCTGTGTATGTGTGTGTGTTCGGAAACGAGTGCATTTTGTCACCCACTTTTATCTCAGCAACCAGGAAAGCTGGGAGGCTGAAATTTTGGGTATATGCTCCTACCCCGTATGTCACCCTCCCGTTTCAAGATCCTTTCTCCCCCATACGCTCCTAGACTCCGCGTACGGACCTCCCAGAAAAATATGCATATTTCTTTGGCGGGAAACGATTTTGCGAAACAGGCGAGGTACAAAGCTGAAACTTTGCAGGAATATTCTCTGTATATGTGCGAGCTAAAGATTTCAAACGCAGCTATCGCGCTCGCTTGTGCAGCACGTTAGACCACGTTAAAGCTCACAACTTGGTACTGTGCTAACTTGAAACTTGCCAAAAAAAAGTGCCTGAAATTTTGTCAGCATGTTTGTCGCCCATATGGGGAATCGTATACCTAAAATGAGTATCGATTTGCACCTGTGTCACGACTTAGGGCACTTCGAAGATATTTGTAGCGAAATGGACATTTCGCTTACTAAATAAGCTGCCAGGCTAAAAATTCGCTGGGATATTTTACTTTCAAGTGTGGTATTAATTCTGCTTTGAGGCGAGATTCCCTGCAGGTAGGCGTGAGCAATACTCAATTTTACCGAAAAATCAGAAACGAGTGCGTTTTGCAGCGAACGACCGCCTTCATCCAAATATGTAAATGAACATTCACTTCATTTGCATACTTGGATTTTTTGATAAACGACCGCTCGTGTAATACTTCCACTTTTTTAGTAAACTGGAAATTTGCATTTTTTTAAAAAAATTTGCATTTTTCACTTTTTCAAAAAGCGAGAATTTACCGAAAAAACGACCAAGCTTCATGCAAAGAACCAGTAATCATGTATCTGGAGGTCAATACAGCTCCATAATGCAACACCCTTATCCCAGCCGATGCCATTCTGCTACATGCCGGAAGAAACCAAAGCACGGCCAGTATGAGCCCAAGTGTTGACTGCAGCGTAGGGATTATTCCTGTTATTAGCGACCCACGAGTTTAGTGCAAAAACGCACTATCGCACCAACAAACCTCGTGCCTTCCAGCCTGGGTTTTATTTCGCAATGTACATTATTGCAATGTACAACCCAACTCATTGATATGCACGTTTGCCTGCATTTGCGGCAAACATGCAGGCGTCATCTTTGTCCTCCATGCTCTGAAACAAGTGTACGTGCTGCAACTTCTGTATGTTTGGCGTAAATATGTACACTCCAGTCAGTAATTCCTGATTTTCGAGAGATGTTGGATTTGCAGAGTGCCAACGACGTCGACAAACGAGTGAATCGAGCTTCGGCAAAACAGGTTACATCCCCATTTGTGCAGCAGATGGCTCATTCCGACCGTTGCAATGCGAATTGCCTCCAAGCGAGCAATGCTTTTGCGTGGATCGTAATGGCCTCGAAATTCCGCACTCGCGCACAAATCACACAAAAAAACCGGACTGTTCACGTTAGTCTTTGATACTAATGCTAGGAGCTTAGTTGGCTAATCCTTCAAAAAGTGTAGCTGTGTTTTCTTATCTTATTTCTCCCCGACATAGTCCACACTGAGTACCATACACCAGCGACAACATGTACCACAAAGATTAATACCGCCCGGAAAATCGGTGTGAAAATCTTATACTACTGAGATACTCCCACAAATCGAATGCAGCAATAGGGGATCCTTCGACCCTGAGCTACATAATGCTAGTTAGTGATTGACATGTTAAAGACAAATTGCAGATGAATTTTGCTTTTGTTGTATTGCTCAGAAGCAGTACGTCAGACATGTAAATTGCCTAATACCTAACAATTACTTCAGAGCCAGAGTTGTTCAGGACAACTACCACAGCTCTAATTTGTGGTGTGCAAGCTGTAGTCTTTGGTCATCCAAATACGAGTAGAGAAAGATGAAATTTATAGGAAAAAACACAATTTTTTTTTT